ACTACAGTGACTGGTCTGAGGTTGATCTGTTGAATGAAGACATCACTGCTGCCAATGTTATCTCAGTCACAAAGGCGCACTTTGCCCGTTATGGTATACCAGAAACATTTTTGTCAGACAATGGACCTCAGTATACCTCTCAGGAATTTTTTAATTTTGCCAAGACCTATGGTTTTAAGTTAATTACCCGGTCGCCGTATTATGCAAGAGCTACCGGTAAAGCTGAAGCTGCCATTAAAAAAATCAGACCTCCTCACTGGTCTCTTGGACCATAGGAACACACCGCCTCAGGGTATGACTTACTCCCCGGCACAAAGATTTCTCTGCCGACGAACAAAGTCTAACTTGCCAATATCTGAATCATCCTTAAGCCAATCTGTGCCACCCATAACCGTAGTCCGTGACGAGCATCTGGGTAGGCGAGCTAAAGCCAAAGCTCACTATGACAAAACTGCTAGCAGAGACTTATCCCCTCTCGCGCCTGGACAATTTGTGTACACCAGGCCAAATGACCATCACCGCGCTGAACGGAAGGGTCACGGCGAAGTCTTGGGCGAGCTAACACTACGTTCGTACGTGGTAAAAAACGCAAGACGGGTTGGTTAGACGGAGCAGGATCCACTTAAGACCTAATGAGCCTCAGGTCTCATGTGACCCACAACCCTTGCCAGAACAACCAGTCATAGATAATGGTGCGGATGTCGAAAATTCTGCAGAAACCATGGTGCCTCACCCCAATTCAGAGTCTCCGAATAAGAATTCACTTCCGCCAGTGCAAACGTCCCGTTATGGCCGGCCAATCAGACACCAAAGAGACTGGACCTCTGAAACTGGAGACTAGAATGCAGTATGGTACTCGATGTTGACTATTATCTGACATTGCCTGTTCATATTTGTTTATGTTTATGACTTATTTTATACGAAACATATTAGCATGTTAATAGTTTTCTTTCAAAGGGAGGATATTGATAGGATATAACTCTGTTGTCGTATCATAGGGGTCAGCGGTATTCCGCATGAGTCGTACTGTGTGTGTAAAACGGACATGGCTGCATGTCAGCTGAGAATAAAGTGTTGTGTTCTCGAAAGCTGTTGTTCCTTCGATGGAAGCTTTCCCAGCCGGTCAACAGAGGAAAGAAAGGTAGGGAAAATCGCAGATTATATATGGTCGTAAATAGGGTAAGAGTTTTGGGAGGAACGCCGCACCCCCCAACCCAATTTTTCTAGGAGTATCTCCCCCCACCCCCCCTCAGATCCCATTCCNTGAGAATAAAGTGTTGTGTTCTCGAAAGCTGTTGTTCCTTCGATGGAAGCTTTCCCAGCCGGTCAACAGAATACCAGTGAGTATGCTTGTTAATCCTTGGTGTGACTTCTGATTGGCGGAAGCCTGGTAGTGTACTATGGAGATGTGGAGTGTAATACAAAAAAATGACACAAGACAAGTGAATTTAACTTCAAGCGCTTTATTGACTTTTCCATATATAGCGAGTATCAAATACGACGTGTAGATTTTAGATTATGCGCTTCTTGTAAAGAGAATGATCGACATCTTGGTAGTGAAGATCGGTTGAGACTTGAAGATACAAGTCTAATCCTTTTGTAGTTCGTAGATTGATTTAGATTCATCTGATTGCTTTCAGGTTGCGATCACTGAAAATAAAAGAACAGATCCAATTAATTGTTATTAACTTCGGTTTCTAGCGGCATTCGAGGGTAGAAATAATAACGTTTGCTTCAAAGACGTGAGGATACGTTGGATGCGTCAGACTAGATTAAATGATCGCAGTTGCCTCAGGCTCTGCAGACTTGTAGTGTATAGAAACCTCTTCCTCTTCCTCCTGCTCCTCCTCCCCCTCCTCCTCCTCCTCCATCTCCTCCTCCTCTTCCTAGGGTGCCGAGTCCGCACATGTCATATAGCCTGTTTGGAAAACCACACTAATCCAAGTCATCAGTAGCCACATTCGTATCCATTTTGGCGTTTTCCTTAACCTAACAATGGCATAAAACTTGTCATGTTAAGTGTGGGTTTTAAGTCTTGTTGTATGTAGGGCATAAGGAACTGGTGAAACTGAAGTCAAACACAAAAGAAAGCAACTGACACTACTTTTTTTTCTGACAACAAAAAAAGAAAAGCACGTAGGTATCATCAAAGCAATAGTTGTATCCATGCAAAGTTAAAAGTAATCATTACCTTTAACATAAATGATGATATTGGCTTTCCTCCCATGCTCCAACTTCTTTCAATGAGTCGATGCACTTAATTCCTATTTTCTATACTACTGAATCCCTCCAATTAATCATGGAGCATTCGAGTCTTAATTACACTATACTCAAGGCTGAAACACGGAAACTCCTCTCTCTAAAGAAATTCACTCTGTTTTTAGCCCTGAATGCCATCATCAAGGATGGCTTTATATACCATGCTACGGAAAATAAAGGCACAGTAAGAAAATCTTACTGGCCTCACAAGTATAAAAAAAATCCCATTGAATGTATGTAATACACTCAATAAGAACAGCCAACAGAACACAGAGATCATATTAAATCTTTCCTCAATTTATTAACCAAATTTTCAGTAACATCGATTTCACTGAAAAAATATATATATTCTGTCGTTCTAAGTGAATAATGTTCTTTTCAGTAAAGCGTTGATTTTTTTTTCATCATTCATTTCGCATTCCCCTGCGCACATTGATTGAAAGCTGTCTGTTTGTCTTCTCTTGACTTTTGAAGTCCTTTTTCAAGCTGCGAAATCTAGAAAAAAATATTATGTAATAAGATATTTAGTACCTAGTGCATTCAGTGCCGTAGGAAAAGGGGCATGGACAGATGGCACTTTTTCTGCCTTACTGCAGTCTTGTTTACGGAGGTCGTGATCCTTTTGGCCGACAACCAGAATCAAGACATGCTACTCATTTCGCAACAGTGTTTTTCTAGCTTCTTTTAATGAAAGAGAAGGAAGTAAAAAATGAAGAGGAGGAAGAGGAGGAATAGTAGGGGTACCGCCCACTATCGCACTTCTTTTTAAGTTACTACGGTCCGCATTATCGTGAGTTTTGTCGTATGTTGCCGTCAGAAATAGAGTATTTGATCAAATGATTAAGGGATATTTGATTAACCTAATTATTCTCTAAGAAGTTAATTAACGTACCTTATCAATTAATTAATTTAAAATTGTCTTGGAAAAGGCATCATTGGTATTCCATTGTAGAATGGGTTGTAGAATGGTGCATAGCCGTAATTGTAGGGAGCAGGCATATAAGCAGATGGTTGTTCCTCCATTAAGCTTCGTTTCACGGGGCCACGCTTAGCTAATGATAAAACAAAGAAGAGGCGGTTAAAACAACCTAACAAACTCGTTGCAGTGACCCATTTACACTCAAAGATCAATCACTTTTTCGCTGTAGCATGTACATTTCCATTAAGAAGCGAACTCAAAAATGAGAGAGCAGGTTACAACTAGAGGATTGAGCTTCTAGTGACAATGCCAGAAAGTTTTCTTCACGAGTTTACTTAAAAGTATGCCATACATTTCAATCTTGTTTACGCGTAAGTTAATGAATTCTAGGGAATAAAACGGAAAATTTCACACCTGTTCTCCTTAAACAGTGATGTCCACAGGCCGTGTGGTGACTGTGTGGTGATGGGCAGTGGCATACAGGTTCAGGTTTGAGAGGCTTGAACTCAAATTTGGGTGGTGTGCAGGTGCAGCAGCAAGGCCACATACAAGGCCACTTGCACTTTCCAGGTGGGGTCTTCTCTTTGCAGCATTCACAGCCAGGGTTGTTCACAGTGGCGCCAAATGCACAAGGGAAAGTGAGACTAGGGCAGCAGCCAGTGTTGCATCCTGAGCAACTGACTGGGGGACCAAATCCTCCCTTGCAATTAGAACACATGGTACCGGGAGCACACCAGTCGTTTGTGCCGCATGTTCCACATCCTCCACATCCTCCACATCCACATCCAGATCCGCAAATGCCTCCAGGTGCTCCGCCACAGCCACACCCCATGTAGTCACAGCCGCCAGAGTCAAAGGCATCTCCACATCCTCCACATCCTGCACAACATCCACATCCACAACGCTTTTCTGTAATAATAGAAGTTGGAAAAGACCAAGAAAGAAGGAAAAAAGACAAAGGAATAATAAAACAAACTTGGAAAGAAACACCTCACCTACGATGCGAATTAAAATGAATCACTTTTAGAGCCATATTTTTATTCATTGATATTCATAACTTTTTTATATTCAAGTGCGTCGTTTTAATCTTCATTACGTGCTATTTAATTTCACCATGATGAGTATTTAAAAGTGCGTTTAATTACCTGCTTTTAAAATAGTCATTCCACTTTTTAATTTATCGTTTTTGCAATACACGGAACTACCTTTTAATGCTTTGTACTCTCGAGCAAATACTTGAGCAAATAACGGCAATTGACACGACAAAAGTATGCCCCATAAAACTTTATTTTTATTGGAAATTGTAATTTATTCTAAATTATTTTAAATGTCTTATCTTAAATCTACAATTTTAACAATCTACGTAGTCCAATAGTTCTCTTATTTGTTTTCTTTATTGTTATTAAATTCCACATCAGCATGTTGTCGCAGTGTTTTCAAGGGCATCCTGCAAGGAAGTATACAAAGAACGTTAATATACTGATATGAAGTTATTTCATTATCAACGCGCCCTTTCAAAAGCTCTTATTACTGTTTTATCTAATGTTCTACTTAGATTTGTTGGTACTATGCCACGTTCTTTCCCGTGATAGTACAAAATAAGTTGATCCAAAAACAGAACTCTGATATCCACATCCATATCACGATGCTCAGGTGAAAGATTTACAGCGCTTATTCGTGGGAGAGCTAGACAATGCCACTCACCGTCTTCAGAAGTAATAATAAGGGGAGTATGTGTCCAATGGGACCCCATAGTATACTGGTACAAGAGGATTGAAGACATAAGGGAACGGCTGAATACTCGTGATGGCTTGCGGAACAAAGCATCGCTTGCTGCAATCACCTGGCGAGAGAAAATTTTGTTTTCGCTTAATGTAAAGGTGGTTTATTGATTTTTTAATCCTTTTTTCTTGCGTATCCAAATATCAACTTTACTGAAATTCTCAAGGATTGCATAAAATGAGCTATCTACTGATCGATTGGGAAAATATAACTTGGCTCGAGGTCTCGACGTACACTGAGAGCGAGCGCGATGATGAGGGTTATAATATTCCAAGAGAATTAATTCAAGTAGTAGAAAGGTAAGAACTCTTTCAGACCAGGGTTGTTTGTTATTTGCTAATACTTTACCTCCACGTTTTCTGCAACAGTGACAGCAGTGGCAGCAACCGTGGCAGCAACCGTGGCAACAGCCATGACAACATTCTTGGCATTCCTTGGGGACTGCTTTGGGCTTCAAGGGCTTCAATTTAAACTCAGGAACTTTGCATTCACAGCAGCATGGCCACATACATGGCCACTGGCAAAAACCTTTTTTAGGTGGCTTCTTGCAGCATTGGCAACATGGATTGTCGACGCATGCTCCAAATGTGACTGGGAATGTCATTGAATCGCCACAACCACAGCAGCCGCATCCACAGCCTCCACAACAGTGATGGCAAATATGCGGGCATCCAAAGCCACAGCAACAATTGCTGCATCCACAAAATCCTGAACGCCGAGCTATTGCAGGAAGATTAGGTAGCAAATTAGTGATAAATCTTTATATGCTACGAGCAAAAGTTCGAAAGGAAAGAAGTGCATAACCAGGTCAGCTTCGTACAAAGAATTACCATCTGCTATCAGATGTATAGCAGACTTATCCACAATACGAATAAAGAAGGGGATATTTCTTGTTGACGAAGCTGCCCTGTCTATGGTTTTGCCAAAGTAGAAAAAAGCAACCGAAAATGTGAATGGGCAGATCGCAACAAAATACTCACCAGCGATAAAGAAGAGAAGCTGGCGAGTAGCAACCAGAGTCAGCGGTCTTCGATACAAGCGAGTTTTCTGAGTTGAGGTATTTCTCTTCCTACCTCCAGCAATGAATGATGAGGACACATGTAAGCGACTGAAATATTTGCGCTCTAAGCATTGCTCACTCTTTGTGGTGTTACTAATCCGCATTGCAAAAGTGCTAAAAAACGCTTAAATATAGAAAATCCGGTTCAATTCCTAAATGCTTTGACTAAACGTAGGCAGGGCAGCTTTCGACAGCTTGTATTCGATTTAAAGCTCATTTGCTGTAATGTGATAAAATATTATGAGGTAGCCCTCTTGAGAAGATATCGAACGAGCATAATTTATTTTTACCTCCAGTTTAGTAATATTCGTCAATTTGTGCGATGACTGCGCCGAAAACTTTTATTTAAAACAACATAACCTAGGCACAGGACCAATACACTGTGAAATGATTATTTCGAGTTACTGGACATGACCAAGAGCGTACATTTTTAAGTCATATGCCAGAGATTGCATCCAAATTTTAGCACATCTAATTCTATATCGCATTTCTCGAAATGATACGCGAAGATTATCTTTAAGCGAAAGAAGAATAAAAAGACCGTTGGCCTATCTAAAATGGTAGAAATCGGTCAGTATTCGCACTTTTTTTATAAGCGGATCTTGGCGCCTCTGCCCATATCATTTAATAACATTTTCCACGAAAGAAAGAGCACGAAACACGTTTTTAAACTTTCTGACGATCGAGAGAGGAAACCTTGTTTCATTTTCACGCTGACTGAGAAAGTAATTTATTATGAACGAGAAGCGCTCGTGATCGACGAAACCACGTTTTTTACGTTTTTAACTTTGTAGACCCTTCTTACCTCCCTTCTGCCCTTCTTTTTTACATGAGGTAATTTCATTTAAACTTTAAAACGTAACAAAGTATAAAACGTGCAATAAAAAAGGCGTCCAGTGCGTTCGTCTGTGGCTGAATCTCAAATATTTCACTTCTTTTTGCTGACCAGGAGGAGTTTAGCTTTCTTTCCGCGAATTGAACAGTTTGAATTGACGTTCAAGCGTCTGAACTCGTAGCGGGAAACAATAATGGTACTATAGAAATCAATGATCTTTCATATATTCTCTTGCAATTATGGTACTGTAGCGGTTTTTCTTAGTTTGCAGGATTACAAGCTAATAATTAAATTGAATTCTGTCAGAAACCATTATTATTTTCAATCCAATAAAAGGAGAGCTTAGTTAGATGAGACGTGCTTGAAATATATAAATGCTTAAGTCCATTTATTTAGGCATTTAAGGGAAACAGCATCAGTTTAATTAATTATTAAGATGAAGTAAAGGGGTAAGAACAGTAGACACCACAAAGTTGATTTCTTTTATTTTCTAACATGCTGTCATGCAATATACTTGGTGTTTGACTGATAATGGCGTGGTGCAAAAATGTGTTCCAAAAGCAGTTTCTTTATTGGTACGTTTCTTTTGAGAATCCATGAAAACGCCGTCCTTTTGTCATTGATTGCTATCATTTTCTCATTTTGGCAATTTTTGTATTGTTACATTTTGTATCTTTTTACAAGGAAAATTACTTTGAGACATATTGTCTCATGCTAGGAAGCGACGAAACAGGGCGTGCCTCTTGAAACAGCCCTCCGCAAGGAGATGACATTTTGCGTATAGTCGTAGGACCTGAAAAAGTTAGAAAAAATTGTCAATTCAAATGATATCGGTTTAATGTTAAACAATCTTTTAAAATAAATAACGGAAATAACATGTCCTCCATCTCTAAGGAAAAAATGTCCCCACTCGGACACGACAAGCCATTTCCAAAAATTCACAGCACTGCGTTTGTCTAATTTGACAAAAAGTAAGTGTTGTTTATGGAAATGGAAGAAAGGATATATGTTTGTTAGCTCGAGCTCGCTTTGCAAATTTGATACTTTCCCTTAAAAAAATCCAAAATTCTAGACCCTACTGAATTCATTAGCTGCGTGGTTACAGTCTTTTTTTCAGAGGACGTTTTCTCTCGCTATGACAAGGTCAACCCAAAATGCATTCCTTCCTTCCTCATCGTTAAGTCAGACGGTCGACCTTATAAAAACCTGAGATGCCTCAATTTTCTTTTCTTTTTTTTTTTTTTNTAATTCACCTGGTCTATAAAAATTGTTCAGTTACTATCATTATCACTGTGCCTAACTAGTCCAGTGACGTAAAACAGAAAAACTGTACTCACCTAGTAGAATGGTAAAGGGCCAAAGCCATGTCCATATCCTCCATATCCTCCATATCCTCCATATCCTCCATATCCACCGAAAGGTCCGTATCCAAATGGTCCGTATCCACCGAAAGGTCCATAACCACCGAAACCATACGGACCAAAACCGCCGTAACCGTATCCAAAGCCATCACCGAATCCACCGCACCCGCAACGCTTTTCCACATCACCTCTCTTTAATGGACCTGCAAAGTGTAATAGATTGAATTGTGATTATCTGTAGTAAGTATATGCACTTCTCATTTTCACTTGCATTCATTTAAGGACACTTCTAGTTCCACGATAAATGTATTAAGATAAGCAAATATTTGCACCAGAAACATTTGCCTCACAGCTGTTTTTTGCGGCGAGTATGTGAACTGTTTGATCTGGATTTTTGACAAGATTGTTTCATTAGAAAGGTTTTAAAGTATGTATGTATCAATGGTAAGAATGAGTCATGTGATTATGTCAAGAGAAACCCTAAGACTTAAAGGTAATTAAATGTCAAGTAAAACTGAACAACAGCTCGTCACAAAAATCCGAGTGACTAAACTTACGTATTGACTGAGGCTAATGACTAAGGACCTTCCCCCCCTCAATAAATGGTTTAATCTTTAATAAAGCATAATAAAATGAGGAAAGGTAAATTGAAATCCGAGTGACTAAAATCAGTTATCTTAAACAAAAGTTTTCTTCCAGAACTTCGAATTCAAAGGAAAGACTTTACAAACTAACAGCAAAGATGTCAACTAACCTGCGCTCTTCTTTCCGCCGCAGCATCCATGGCAGTGTGGACAGTGGCACATCGGTTTGGGCTTGATTGGTGTGAATTTAAACTTAGGCGGGTCACATTCGCAGCAGCAGGGCCACATGCAAGGCCACTGACATTTGCCTTTCGGTGGCTTTTTCTGACAGCATTCGCAGCACGGATTGTTAACACATGCACCGAACGTGACGGGGAAGTTCAGATGCGGACAGCAACCGCACCCGCAGCCTCCGCAGCAATGGGGGCATTCAAAGCCGCCACAGCAGTTACCACAGCCGCAGCCTTCACCTGGTTCACCCCAGCAACCACAACAGCTACGTTTATCTTGGACTGTTCATGCAAGTAGTATCATGCAACATGCAAAAATATAACATGCAAATTTATAAAGTTAGTCCATGCAAAATTTGCTGTTTTAAATATAATTTTCTATCCAGCTGCGACGCTGAAATTTAGCACAAAACTTTCATTTTTGATATGAGGGCTCTTTCTTCGGACGTGTTTGCTGGGCGTATCAATTACACAGGGGAGAAAATAATGACGACTTGGATTATCAATACAATTAGCTAGTTCCGTATGCGACGAACTACATGTAGGCATACGTTTCGATCCAGACATAAACATTTTAGAAGCTTCAGTTAATCTTTCAAATGAGGTTACCCCTTTTTTAAAGCCACGATAAACGTGCCTTCTTAAGAACTTTGCAGTGTTAAAAGATTTCAGCTCGTGAATTATTCTTTTGTTCAAAACTCTAACCATTCAATTTCACTTTCAAATAAGAAACAAGGATCTTTTGATATTTCATAGTGAAGAAGTTTTGATCAGGAAATACAATATTTAGCCTTAACGTAAATAAAACACGTTTAAAAAATAAGTTCATCTCTTCTATATTGATTAGTGCAGGTGGTTATCGACCTGTAATCTTTGAACGCTTCATTTAACAACAAGAAATTCCTTTGAACCCTTAAACTCCTAAACATCTGGTTACCTTTCAGCGCTGTGGTAATTTTAAGTCTTTGCTAAAGAAAGTCAAGACTTGATTTGTTTTGCCTCCTAAAATTCGAAGACACAACCGAATTGCAAAGCGCCAAAGTCCGATAAAATATTAATGACTTGGTCTTTGCGATTACGATTTTCCCTGAAACATTGTATTTAGAAGTCGAATATCCCGTTTAAAATGCTACGACCTCTAGATATTTATTAATTTTACGCTAAGAGAAATTTTCCGAGGATATTCATTAAGCGGGTCATTTATTACATACCTCGTAAAGAGCTAAACTGGCAATTCTTGTTTGGCCAATTTCTCAACTTACCCCCTTAAGACTCAACATATATTTAATACATGGCTGTAAACAATGTTAAGATAGAAACAAATCATTATTTAAGACGAAAATGAATCTACCTTGTGCACTCTTGGAAGGCTTTTTGCTATCATCAACGGATCGCTTCTCGGGTTTGTCCTTTTCTTTGTCTGAATCGTCTATCACCACTCCTTTGATTTTTCCATTGCCGCTTCCCTGAAGCACGAGATGATCGGAGTCAAGATCTACACTTTCTTCCCCAGATGACTCTTGATCATTCTGTTGGTCGTTGAGATCAGGTTCCTCCTCTTTGTCTTCCTCCTCATCTTCTTCCTTGTCTTCCTTCTTCTCATCGTCATCCTTCTTTTCCTCATCCTCCTTCTTTTCTTCGTCTTCCTTTTTCTCTTCACCTTCCTTCTCGTCTTCGTCGTCGTTTTTCACATCATCTTCTTTTTTCTCTTCATCAGATTTTTCTTCCTCCTTATCCGCCTCTTCTTCCTCATCATCTTTGGCCTTTTCATCGTCACTGGCCTCTTCACTTTTCTCCTTGGCCTCCATTACGTCCATAACATTTTCATTTTCTATCTTGTAAGAGGAGGCCACAGGAACGGCTGATGTTTGATAGACGACAACAAATAATGTGAAAACTACCAATAACAAGGTAGTTTTCATCATCTTTCGCTGCTGTGTTTTTCTAAACCTTAGGCGCAACAAATAGAGGTATCGTAAACAACAACAATGTAACTAACTATCTTCGCCTCGATATATTGTCTCATAAACTGCAATTCCCGTAAAATGACTTGAAATTAGGTAAGATTTGAAATATTTACTACATGAATTTTGGTTGGCTAGGGTGTTCTATTGTGTGATTACTTCTTCTTTAATTCTATTGGATGACAGGTCATTTACAAATTAGGTGACACCTCATTGTTTCCAAATTCGGAAACAAGGTCAAATTTCCGGTTGGTCACTTCTGTTAAACTTTGTCCAGTCTTTGCAGGCAAGGAGAGCCTAGAGTTTGAACTTACTTTTCTTTATTGTGCGCGGTTGAGAAAAAAAAAAACATCAAATCTCAGCGTCCAGTACAATTTTGTTTACAAGTCACCCTTTTCCAATCGATACTTCTCATTAATTTTGCAAAACTCTCTTTTCTTGTCAATTCAAGCTTATAACAAGACGCGTGAATGCACCACCAACTGCCAGCGTTTAGTTAGAAGAGGCTTTGATTTATCGCTTTGTGTCGAAAATTAATGAACTGTAGCAATTTTACTACAAAGATGGTTCAGAAAATTAACAAACAGTGCTCGGTTAAAAATGGAGGCAGACTGCTGAATTACGAAAACCTTTTTTGAAATTACGGGAATAGTAATAATTTTATTCTTCTCGACGAAGAAGGCAAAATGTCGACGCAGGAAAAGATAAAACAACTGACAGGTTAAATGCATACCAGAGGTCGAAATGGCATTTCTGCAAGAAATTGAAATACACCAATAGTTGAAAATACATGTAACATCGAGACACAGTTTTCCTTGAAAGGGAAGGTCAAAGGAATGTTTGTTGTGTGAATTAGTGGCTATATTTTATCCACACGTTTTAAGATAAACACATAAACAAACAAATCAACAGGAGTGTTTAAATTTAGTTGGAAGACAAGCAAAGCAATCAAAATCCATATTGCGTTCAAAATCAGTGCTGAGTCGTAAGAAAGAAAACTCATGAAAAAACTGAGACCCAACAGAGAATTTTATTTTGCATATGCATCGCAGTCGGGTAGGCGGATTTCACCGCGCCCAGATACCAAATAATATACTGATCGGGCTGACCATTTGATAACAGATAATCCTCCCTTTGTCTGTTTAGTTCACATCTCAATTTAGGTGTTCATCAAGAAAACATCACCCCGCTGAAAATCTTTGTAAAATAGGTTTCGCCGCAAGTGAAACTTTGCTAAGGCGAACGAGTAATCAGTCCCTGGTATCCTGTTGACAAACATTTCTGTCATAGTACCTAGG